CCATGAACATCCATTGCCTAGAATAAAATTCCAAAGGAGACAAAGGAAGAGATCAATGATTAAAGCAGTTTCCTTCTACACATTAAGAAGACATTTGCATACTAAACAAGTTATAGTGGACCAGTATTGACCATAAAACAATTGAACTGTAGCTTTCTGAGACTACATATAGAAGCTTAACCACAAATATGGTAAAGTTCATCAAAAAAATACAAGACTTTTGAAGCTATCTCTGATTTCACTACAAAGCGATAACTAGATAGGATGTTTTTACTTATCAGAAATCTTATATGAAAATGTCCCCTAAAAAGAGCAAAGTGATGTTTCAAGAACAAATAGAATGTTCTATGCATCGAGGGAAATGGTCGTGTTTCTTTGATGAAGATAGAAAAGAGGTCAGGAAACCGTGAGAATGGTTGAATTGATAACTCACTAGACTAGCCCACTTGTTTAATTGGCAACATAAGGATCTATACAATCCGCGCATTTACGTCATGCTCTGATGAACCCAACCATTTTGATATCCTTTCAGGTAAAAGTGATAAAAGGAACTATTAACAACTCAAACTCACCGCTATCAAATATTGTCCGTTTTGGCCCACTACGTATTGCTGTCAGCTTCACGATTTTAAAACGCGTTTATTAGGGAGAGATTTCCACACTTATAAGGAATGTTTCGTTTCCCTTTCCAACCGAGGTAGGATCTCACGTAACCCAAAAATTTCCGAACACCAAGAATGAACAGAATCCATTTCAAGAAACAACAAAAGATATTGCAAAAAGTAAGACAAATGAAGAACACTTTTCAATTTCTCATCATGAAACCAAATTTCCATAACTGAAGAACACTTATCAATTTCCCTCCATGATAGCTCTGACATCTAGAAAGGCCACAATCTATTCCCCACAATTTTCCAACAAGCCAAACAGAGAATATCGCATAATCAAAAGCACAAAACCTCAAACACTACCAAAATTCCATTGAATATAGGAGACAAAAAGGCAGATGAAATCGACGAACATTGCATACCCTTCCCAACACTCGACAACCAATCATCAAAAACCATTCCAATAGCCAAACAGAGGAGAAAAGCGCAGAAGCCAACAGATACTATTCCATCAAAACAATCTGGAAAGACGAAAATACCTGATTTCGCGAAATGAGTCGGCGAATAACAGAGTCTGGAAATGGATTGGTTGGGTTTAGCCATGGAAAATGAAGAAGAAGAAGAAACAGAGAGATGGTGGGAGTGAAGGAAAGAAGCGAGTTTATAAAAACCGACGCCATTAGTGTTGGTACAGAAAAGAGAGGGAAAAGTTGAAGTCGGAGATAGCGGCTGAGTTGCCATACTTATCTACAGCCTCACTGTGAGCGCTTCTTTGACAATTAACATTTCCAAGGCATCTTGGTTTTGGTTTCTGGCCGACTTTTACGAGCCATAGTGGGAGGGTGGGGAAGAGAGAGAAAAGAGGGAAGAGAGAGACACACACACTTGGAGCTGTGCGGATATGAATTGAGAACTTGAGATGACAATTCTCTTTCGTTCTCCTCTACAAATCTATATGAATTACATATATACGTATTTATATGATGGACTTAAAACTCAAATTAAACGAGTTCCGTTAGAATTCACTGCTAACATATATGCTCGATTTTAGCCTCTTAGGTGTCATCGTCAGTTTACGATTTTAAAATATACCTATTATCAAAAAAATTCTATTCTTCCCAATTTTCAAGTTTATTTTTTTAATTATTTAAAAACAATTATTTTGCATTAATAATTAAATTCTCCCGTCACAATAAATCACTAATGTGAATTATAAACTTCAAATATTCGTAATAATCTTAAAAGTGGGGTTGGATTATAATGCTGGTTGATCGGTTGACCCAACTACAATAATGTTAACCGAACCCATCTAAATTTTTTATTTTTCAAGAAATTAAAATAATATTTAAAGTTGGGCAGATATTTGACAAAAGAAAATAATAATAATAATTAATTTTTTAGTGCCAAGTATTACACTTCATTTTATTCTTATTTATTTAATTCCAAATTCTTATATAATATTTCTACGAAAAAACGGTGAAAATTATATATCAGAAACTTGAACGTTCTTTAGCTTAGTTTATTTCGAGATTTCTCACAAAATGCAATTAAAAAGAAAGACGTTTAAGCTAGCTTGTTTTCATTTTTCAGTGAAACTATACGTGGGGCTAACGAATTTTAGGTTTTTGTTAAGAAGTCAATCTAGCGGTGCTAATATAGAACACGGCCAAATGATAAGAAACGTAGGGTGGATGTTGTTTATTTGTGTGTGGTTTGTTTTATTTTTGTTGTTCAAAATTTGTAGAGATGTAAAAGGTAAGGAAGTTGAGTACTTAATTTATTTTGGGTGGTATGTGGATATGGGAGGCCTCCATATCCAATGCATTGCATTTATTTATGGTCCCTTTTTGAGACCTTTTAATTAGGAGATATGCAATTCTTATAAATGGTATATAAAAATATAAATATAAATAACTGTTCGTTCCTCCTACCCAAATGGAAGTCACTGCAAGGTAGCGAAATTTCTATGGTTGAGTAATTGAGAAGAAATGTCCATCTTCGGTATAAGTAATAAATTTTAATTTTTGTTAAGTTTTTCTGAGTTATCTTATCCTCAATATCATTTTTTATTCGCTTGTGTTCTTAATTTATTTATATACCCTTCATTAACTCGGATGTCATAGGGCAAACTACCTGGGAACTAGGCCCAATACAAGTAGTTAAAAAAGACATGGGAAGTTGGGTGAAATGGTATCAAATACTTCTTGAACATGAGTATTGAAATTGCGAGCATCGAACATGAAGGCTCAAAATTCAAGTGATAGTATCAGGACCCTTAAGCTACTATTCTCAAGAAACGACGTAATCAAGTATGTTTGTCATTATAAGAATTTTTTTTTTTTTAATTTTAAAAATTTTAAAACTAGATAATAATTTTTTTAAAAATAAAAGTAAGTGATTATTAAATAAATAAATAAAAATAAAGGTTGTTAATTAAGATTTTTGCGTGTGTTTTTTTGAATAATGGAATAAAAAATTGAATTAAAAAGGTAATTCCAAATTGAATTGAAAGTCTTTGAGAGAGTGACGTGTACGCAAGTTGTTGGGCCTGGCGCCTCCGCTCCAAAATGGTTCCGTCTTTTTTTTTCTCGCACACGCCTGTCTCGCTGTCCCTTATCCATTTCCAATCCTTTTCCCTTTTAATTTTCACTGTAACAACACTGTATTCTTCTTCTTCTTCTTCTTCTTCTTCTTCTTCTTCTTCGCGACGCAGTTTCCTTTCCATTTTTGCCCTAATTAACTCTTTCCTCATTGTTGATGCCCAATCGAACCGATTTCTTTTAAAAAAGAAAAACCTTAAGAACCGGTTCAGTTCGGCTTAGATTAGACCGGTTGCCGGACGGAATCGTCCCCATCGGCGGCGAAACAGAGGCGAATACGGCTTTGTGAACAGAGTTCCAGACTATTTTCAAATCAACCTAATTCACCTTTTTTTAATTTAAAGATTCAATTATAAATTTTTCTAATTACTCAATCCAACTATTAAAAATATTTAAATATTTATATTCTTTATTTTAAATAAAAAATAAAATATTTATACGTTCAACATTTATATATTTATTTTTAAACATGAAATTAAAATTTACCATTCAATTTTAATATATATTTATGAGTACATAATTAAATAATTGGATTACCATTAATATATATATATATATATATATATATATAAATATAAATATACATATACATGTAAATCATATTATAAACAATTTATTTGTTTACCTCAACTTAACTCATTCTAGAAAAAGAAATATATATATATATATATATATAAAGCATATTATAAATCTTTTATTTTTTTAAGTCTGTAGTTTACTTAAACTTGACTCATTTAAATTTAAATGTATAATAATATACCATTTATTTTAAGTTAGAGTTTACTTAAAATTAACTCGAGATTTAGAAGTCATTTAATCTATAATTATTTAAATTAAATTTAATCTAAATGAGGATTAGTTTTTTTGAAAATGTTACCATATAAAATTATTATAATGATATTTATGTTCTTATACTACATTTAATCATGGTTGTAGTAATGCACTACATACTACAGTTTTTTTACTCACGCTAAAAAAAAAAAAAGTAATTTACTAGGAAATAGACCATTTCACGGTTTAACTTATCTCCAAGAGAAAAAAAAAATTAAATGTTAATGTTTTACATAATTTTCTTAATTAAGACCCATTAATGTGACAGTTCTTTGTTTACCCCTACTGTGAATGGGAAAGGATTAATGTAATTTGCTTTGATTAATAATGACTAATTATGATTAGTGAATTTAACCGGTAAATTCTCCCAAAATTGGTGGAGATAACAATAGAACCACACAAAAGAAAATAACAATAAATAAAGACTTATCAGATAATGTTCCAGACAGTTAAAATAAAAAAGTAAATGAAAAACGTCCATGTGGCCAAACCTACGTAGGCTCGAAATTGCTAACGATTAAGAAGAAAAATATTACACCTGGCAAATTGTAATTGGGTAAATAAAAAAGTTACAAAATGTTGAGAAGTGGAGGATTCCAGCCCTGTCTCACGTGACAAAATTTACCCTGAAGGTTGAGATTACAAAAGTAGCCTTAAGAAAGCGAAGCGGCAAGAAACGAAAAGGAAAGGGTAATAAGGTAAATTCAAGGATAAAAAAATGGGGTGCTTGGGAACACGCGCGAGCTCACCGTAAGGTCGTAATAAAAATTGAAGAGCTGACAGCTTTGAGTCCACGAAGTGTCCTTTTCACTTTTTTTGGTCAAAACAACAAACGCCATTAAAACACTATTATTCATTAAATATTAATATTAATAACTCTTTTTTTAATTTTTAATTTAATTTTTAATTTTTAATTTTTTAATTTTTTTTGCCCTTGCTATGGCTATGTGTTTCAAATCTCCGTTTCATCCCGCTCACATTCCCATTCTTACTTTACTCATCCACACTACTACTGTCTTTTTCGATCTTCATCTCGAGCTCCAATGGAGGTCTTGGAGCTTGGAAGATAGATTCAGGTTTTGTTTCTTGTTTGCATCTTTTTCATTTCGGAGATTGTTTGGTCGTCGCTGTGGATTAGGGCGGATTGGAGTTGCTGTTCTTCAAGATTTTTGGGGATGGGTTTGATTGATGCGTTGGAATGATGGGTTTTCTGGGGGATTTTTAGCTCGGTGGTTTGGGGTTTCTTGAGGATTTCTGGAATTTTTGGAGAAACATGTGGAATTTGGGTTTGAATTATTTCTTAAACGATTATGTAATAAGGAAATGGATAATCTAATAATCTGGACTTAATGCAAGAATGTGAATTACACTTTGAAATTGTTTGTGGAAGCAAGACATTTTGTAGATCCTTTGATTTTGCCGCTTTTTTCTTCTACATTCTTGGAGACCCTGCACCTTGGTTACTCTTATCTCCAAATTTTCTTCACAGTTTTCAAATCTTAAGATTTTTCAACGGATTTTCAAAGATTGGTCACTGCATTATCAATGAGTATGGTGGATGTGTTCCTTGAGGTAGTAAATTTGGAGAAATTTTTCATATTACGTCCTTTCCAGATTTGTTACCTGTTGGCATTTCAAAAATTACAAGATCATTGAAGCTCATTGGTCTTTTAGATTGGTTAAACTAGCATCTTTTACTTTGAATTTCCTGTTGTTCTCTCAATCTTTATCATTCCTTCAGAAATGGCCTTTGTTTATCACTATATGTGGTGAATCTCATGGCTCTAATCTATTGTCCTGTCATCCAGTGCTGTTCCGATGTGATCTTAATCGGGGCTTCTGAGTAATGCTACATTTCTGATAGTTATGCCATATGTGAAAAGCGTGCACTATGCACTATTTTTTTCTTTAATCGAACAGTCCTGTTGAAAATGGCACTCTGTAATCTATGGACCCGTCATTTAGTGCTTTTTTGTTTGAATTTTAAACATTCAAGGGTAGTTATACCATGTAAGAATGTTTTGAATTTTGTTTAAACGAAAGTATCTTCGAAAGCTTTAAGATGAACAGAAATGGTGTTAATATCACTATTTGAGAGCTATTCATTTTATATCAGGTTTTACTCTGATGCATTTGGGTGATTTAATCTTCTTTGAGACCTCCAAATATGAGAAAAGAAGAAAATCACATCAGGGTTAATATTGGAGAATTCCCTGGTAGAATTACGCGTGCTCGGGCTGCTGCATTTAGTGCATCAGCACAGCTGCCTCCAAGAGTACCTGCGCAACAACAAGAGAAGCGGGTTGCACAAGCTAATCGGAAAAGAGCTGCTTCAGAAGAAAAGAGCTGCCATTCTATTGATAAATCATTACGACCATATAAATGGAGGGCCGTGCTTCAGGATGTCAGCAATGTATGCTGTGAACCTTCATACTCGAAATGTTTTGATACAGCTAAAGTTCAGGTTAACGAGTTTTCTTCTCCATAAGATTTTATTCTGGATATCTGTGAGCCTTACTTGCTTTGAGGACATAATTATGCAGCTTTGTTGTACTTGGACTTACCTTTTTCTTTAACAGGCCAATTGTAGTAAGCCGACTATCAGAAACCGTTTCAAGAAGTCCAAAGGAGCTTCATCAGTTTGTGTGGCTAACTCCAAAGTTCCTCTTGACCGTACAACCGAAGGAGCCTCATCAGTTGATGCGGTTTACTCCAAGGTCCCTCTTGACCTTGGAACAGAAAATGTACAAGAAAATGTCAAATCAAAAGCTAAGTTGAAAGTTGAACATTCAAGTAATTCTGAAGACCATGGGACACATCATCAGGTAGGCGGTGGTATAAAGGAAGAGGTCACAAGTTATCTTCGGGATGATAATTCGAGATCTCTAAGTCCTTTAGAGTCTCAGAATTTTCAAAATAAAGGTAATTGTTTTTAACTTTTTGTTCTCTAAACTTTAACAGACAGATAACTCCCTGAAGAAGCAGGAATACAGCTAATTCAGCTTTCTATTTTATGTGTTAGACTCTTTTCTAGACACATTATCCCCTTATCCTTATTTATATATATAACCTAGATTCATTTCACTAGATACAGAGCGCTGTAAGCCGATGAAAGCCGTAATTCTACAACTTATTCGTTAACTACAAAAGGAAAATAATTAGTATGGTTTGCTTAAGGCCATTCAGTTAAACAAAGTTGGTTTTACTCTTCAAAAACCATGATAGTTAACCTGCTTTAGAAGCCATGTTTGGAGCACCAATTTGATGGAGTCTCTATTGGGAATACAAATAAGAGACTTGCTGTTTGAGTTTTCAGGAAACATCTGAAACAACATTTGAATCAATAGTTGACTTTAGAGTTTTCTTCTTTATGATAAGATAATTAAATCACATTGAAGTTCTTACATTCAAGTATGAATAATGTATCTCCAAACATATAAAACTGCTAACGACATATATGTTGGAAATGGAAACATCAGAGAAAGTGTTGCCTCTGGGGACAAGAAGCAACCTGGACTTTACGGACATCGATCGTAATGACAAAGATGCTCAACTGTGCACTGTCTATGCCCGTGAGATCTACAACAATTTACGTGTTGCTGAGGTATGTGATATTGATTCTGTTTTTTCTATCTACTTTCTGTTTCTCTTTTTCATATGGCACTTTTGCTCATGGACGGTGGGAATTTCAGGAAGAACAAAAAGGATCTTGCACCTATTGCATTGACCGTAAGCAATACTTTTTCAGCATAAACGTGATCATATTGACCATAAGAGGCTTTCATAAGTTGCGATTCAAATAAGAAGTGCTAACATCAACAATTTAGTCCTGCATTTTTCTCTGTCCGATCGTTTCGGGTTTATGTGATCTAAGAAAGGTCTTAATTATAAGGATGTTACTTCTTATTCTTAGCAATTTCAACATTATGCGATTTAAAAACAGTACCAAGTAGTCCCCTGATGGGTGCAAGCGATCAAAATGACCCTAAAATTATAAAGCTTCATGTGTTGAACTGTTTGAAGATGTCATGTTTCCTCCTGTGGAATGAAGCATTAAGATTCCCCAATTGCTATTCTTCAACTCAGCTAATTGACCTTGCATTTAGTTTAAGCAGTCTGTTTGCAATGACAAGCAAAATTTTTTGTTCCGAGTTCTGATTCAATCAACTCATAACCTTTGTGCTAGGATGATGTGATCATTGTTTTTGTGCCTTCAGGATATGAAAGTTTTTATTACAAAAAAACTGAATGTACTTGGAATGAAGTATTGTTTTCTCAACTGATTGTGTTTTCCTCTCCTTAGCTAACCAGAAGGCCACGTCCAGATTTCATGGAAACAGTGCAAACAGATATTACCCAAAGCATGCGGGGTATATTGGTTGATTGGCTTGTAGAGGTTAGTATTGCTTCATTAAGCCTTTTCTTAATCCTCTCTTTCTTTCTTTCATTATATTTCTGTTATCTCCAAGTTCTTCCAAATTTCTTAAATTTTACTGAACGTATACCTCGAAAGATCGAAAGTTCCAATGAGAATTCATCTTGAAGAAGCACAATTAAAATGGTTGATCCAAAGTTCTTGATTTCAGGTATCGGAGGAATACAAGTTAGTACCAGACACTCTCTACCTAACAGTATTTTTCGTCGATTGGTTTCTCTCCCAAAATTACATCGAGAGACAAAAGCTTCAACTGTTGGGTATCACTTGCATGTTAATTGCTTCGTAAGTTTCTCAGATCTAGAGCATATTGTCGATGTACTTCATCCAAAAGTTTAAATTGTGTTCTAAGATGAGTGATAGACTCTTGCTATCTACCACTTTTGATGATGTGATGTGAACTAATTTATTATTCACATACGAAGTATCTTGCACATATCGTTTAATATGAGAACTCAAAGCTCATACCAAAAGTTTATTTTAGCTCTATTAATTTGAATATGAAGGAAGTAACAACGGTGGTCCTTGTGTCCGACAGGAAGTACGAAGAAATTTGTTCCCCACGCGTTGAAGACTTTTGTTTCATCACTGACAGCACCTACACAAAAGAGGAGGTATGACATATTTGCCATACAAGATTGTGGATCGTATATTGGATTAATTGATGTTAATCATTTGCTTGATGAATGTTCAAATGGTTGATTCCAGGAGAAAAGAAAGGGCAATAATGAAAAGAGTGAAATGGGAAGGAAACGATATTATTTTTTAACGTCATAAGTAGTACAGGATGTTTACTGCTCTTTGGAAGAGAAACATATCAGATATAAAATGATTTGTTAGCGTGGTCTGCCTTAAAATAGTGAACAAATCCTAGACTGAACTTACCTAGTCCTATGGGCACGTTCCACCAGATCATTATTTTACGTTTGTTGAATTGAACTTAACAGCAGTAGATGGTTAGATATATTGTAATGCCCAAGCTCACCGCTAACAGATATTGTCCTCTTTGGGCTTTCACTCAAGTTTTTTAAAATGTGTTTGCTAGGGAGAAGTTTCCCTTTCGGGGCCCAGCGTTCTTGCTGACACACGTTCCCTTCTCCAATCGATGTGAGACCCTCCAATTCAGCCCCCTCATGTCCACCCCCCTCATGGCCCAGCGTTCTTGTTGGCACACCGCCTCGTTTCCACCCCCTTTTAGGGCTCAGCCTCCTCGCTGACACATTGCCCGGTGTCTGGCTTTGATACCAACTGTAATAGCCCAAGCCCACTGCTAGTAGATATTGTCCTCTTTGGACTCTCCCTTTCGGGCTTCCCCTCAAGGTTTTTAAAACGCGTCTGCTTGGGAGAGGTTTCCACACCCTTATAAAGAATGTTTTGTTCTCCTACTAAACCAATGTGGGATCTCTCAAGAGCTCATCGTTTTCCTCTAAAAATCTGGTTAGGGCCGGATTTGGACTGTTTAGGAGTTTGGAGTGTGCCTACTCTACAATAGTAGGTTTCTCCTTTTGTTCTCTGCTATTTAAAAGCTTCTTTGGTGATTTTTCTTTAGGTTTTGAATATGGAAGGTCAGATATTGAAGCATATGGGCTTTCAGCTTTCTACACCAACTGTAAAATCTTTCCTCAGGTAAGTTTGCTGTGCCAAGCTGCACAAGCATGTCAGTGCATATATGAATTCGTGTTTATATAGGTACGGTGTTCTTATTTACGCATGTTTCTAAATTTCAGGAGATACGTTCGTGCTGCACAAACGACTTTCAAGGTAATAATGAGGTCGTTGTAATGCATTGCTTGATAGTTTTAAGAGCTTCTTTCCTTCTCTAGATAGGCAAAGCTTATGTTTCTTGACTTTCATTGATTTGCAGACCCCTAGTCTTGAACTTGAGTGCCTTGCCAACTATCTAGCCGAATTAACACTGGTCGACTACAGTTTCTTGAATTTTCTTCCCTCGGTCATAGCTGCATCAGCTGTATTTCTTTCCAAATGGTCGTTGGATCAGTCGAGTCACCCATGGGTATGCATTTTCCCTTCGATTAGTCCTAAAATGGTTACTAGACTTGCTAATCTCATTCTCTTTCTGACAGAATTCAACCCTGGAATACTATACCTCATATAAAGCATCAGACCTGAAACCAACTGTTCTTGCTTTACAAGATTTACAGTTGAACACCAATGGTTGTCCTCTCAGTTCGATTCGCGTCAAGTATCGACAAGAAAAGGTAAATGAGTATTAGAATAAGTTTATGAGAAATCAGATGTCGTTACTTGGATATGCCGTGTTTTCTCACGAACAGTTGTCTTAATAACAGTTCAAAGCCGTCGCAACTTTGTCATCTCCAAAATTACTTGATACGCTATTCTGAACCGTGTGTTAGACGAAGGCCAACCATCCACAATTTGCCAACAGTTACATATATACTTGATATAGAAGTTAGAGATTCTCCCAGGAGTAGATACTTTTTTTGCCATTAACTCTACATGTTTAAGCCGATGTCTAATGTTAATCCTTACCCTTTCCCTATTAACATTCTTTCTCTTCACATTTTTTTGAAGCTTCTGTTTATAGTTCTGTGACTTTGGTCATGTTCCTCCCCGATTGATGTCGTGGCAGGCGGAGATTGGCACTTGAATGTACATTGAGAGAAGGAAGCTTTGTCTATAAGACCATGTAGAATTGCCTTGCCACCCAAGATTTCTTTTATGTATTTACTGCTAATCTTGTACTTTGATTCACTTTGCCAAAGTTTGGTACGTCTGTTTTGAGACAGGAAAATTCTTAATGAATTGTTTCACCAGGCTTATGTCTTGATTCTCCCTATATCCATAGTTTGGTAAGCTTTGGCAGAACTTTGGGCATTGTATTCTGGTGTTGTTTTAATAAACTGAATAACTTTGCTCTGCTTCTGCTACTCAGTTTCTTGAGGAATTTGAATTCTTGCTATATAAGGGAAAGTTTCAGTGTAGGGTTGATCAATGCAATGAGACAGACAGAGCACCACTGCTTCTTCTGATCTCTCAGACACTGACAACGAACAAGAGAGAGAAAGTGTCTTTTTGTGTCTGTCATCCAAGAACTCAGCATGAACAGAAAGTTAGCATATCAGCCACAATTAAGCATAGCAGAGTTAGAGGTTGTTATGTTTGGTTAGACGAGGTGCATGCAAGTTAACTCAGACGCTCGTGGGTTGAATGGGTTTTGGGATCTGGTTCAAAGGATCGGTAGAGGAAGAAAACTGGGCTTATTCTTAAATAGAACTGACATTAATCCACTTAACGAGACGATGGATGATAGTGTGACAGCCTAACATAATAGCAGTGTATATTTAAGAATAATATTTTATTTTTAGGGAATTCAAAATAGAAATTTAAGTTCAGTGTATTTTAGGAAAATATTAAATTAAACTTTTATGAAAAGTTGGCAAATGGACTGGCTATGAGTAGATGGGCCGATTGTCGGCCCAACTCTTAACTTCAAATTATAGTGGGCCCACGTGGCCCAACTTTTAATCAAAATTTTAATAGGCGGCCCTACAGTCGTAAGGGTTCTAACCAAATGTTAATATGGACCTTTTCTTGGCATATGAAGCCCAAGGGTATTTCGGTAGTTTTATCTTCTTCTCCGATTTCTCATTCCTTGGACTCTAAAAGCTTATACATCTCTGTCACCGTTCGCTTCATCGACTTGTTAGAGAGAGAAAGAAGAGAGAGAAAGAAGAGAGAGAGAGAGGAACTCTGATGCTCTCTTTCTTCTTCATTTGCATGACTTGAAGATTTTGTTTAGGAGTTGCCAGTTAGAGAGAGAGAGAGAGAGAGAGAGAGAGAGAATGGGGAGCAATACACTGGTGGGATTTCAGGACCATCTGAAATTAGCGAGGGAATATGCTCTTGAAGGGCTGTATGATACTTCGGTAATCTTCTTTGACGGCGTTATTGCTCAGATCAACAAGTAATCTCTCTTTCCTTCTCTGGCTTTAACCAATTTCCTCTCTAGAACTTCAAATTTCTCGTTATCTGATTTTCGATCTTTTCTGATATTTCAATCTGTTAACCGCTTTGAATTCGATTCATCTTGCCTTCTTCATACTGTTTCAATCTCTCCTCTTATCTTTTATAGTCAGATTGTTGTGATTTTTACTTTTTTGGGTCTGCTACGAGTAATTTGAAAGAAATGCGTGGTAAAATAAAAGAAAAATATTCATTGTTTTGTTATTGTGCGGATGTACTGAATAATGTAGAGGTGGCTATTGAGTCTTTTTTTTCTATAGCATTGGAATGCCGAACGTATTTCAACTTTAAAGTTTGAAGAAGATATGGTATCGTTTCTTCCTATTTTAGGTAATCGAAAATCCGTAAACAATGGTCCACAATTCCCTGCGTTGGCTTGTTCTAAATTAATTTAAATTTATTGTTGAAATTTGAGAGCGGCAGAATGAGATTCGAAGAATCATGATGTCTTGGTAAGAGCATAACTTGTGGAAGTGGATCATATTTTGGTTTGTTGGTTAGTGAACATACAATGCCCTGTACACTGCCACCAATTTAGTTTCTAGTTTCCGTGAAGGATGCAAAAGCAAAAGGGATAAAAAAAAAAAAAAAAAAAG